TTGAATATTTTGTGGGTATCATTAATTTTTTATTTTAATTATTTTGATAGCAGTTATGCCCCTTTTTGTCAAAATTTATCCTGAAACATGTTAAATGAGTTTGTAAAATTAAACTAAATATGTCATCAAGCTTTTTTTATTTTGAAGGATACCCAGCTGCCCAGCTGTCAAATGAGGACAGGTACCCAACTAAGAGCACCATCTGCATGGATATGTCAATGGAAGATTTTGAGGCAATGATTTGCTCATTCTATCCAGATGCCCGTCTTGGACTGACTGGTTTCCACTATGCCAAGGCTGACCAGGGAAAGAGGTTGCAGACCATACATGGGGAAACAGTTCTGGGTTTAAGAACAGTTCTTAAACAGGGAAAACTGTTCATTATCCCTAAAAGAGACTTGAGGATGGTAGGTATATTATTGATAGAAATAATTTGATAAAAGACAGTATTCTGAGTACTATCAACTTGTCCTGTGTGCTCATTTAAGTACAAAGTGATGAATTCATGGATGTTGAGACTCTCTTCTGAAATGAAATAATTTGAGTGTCTTTTCTCAGAATAGATACTGTTACAAAAATTCTTTTGTATGAAGTGTTTGTATAGATGTACAAAAACCTGGATGAAATCTGTTACAGCATTTTCAAACCATAAATTTACACTTAAGTATAATGTTTTTATACTGTCTTTTGGTATATTACTTGTAAATACATTTAAAAGGATTTTCCATTGGCCAGGAATTTTAAAAAATGATGAAAGCATAGTGTTTAGAGTTCAAATATATTGTTAATTTGTCTTTGTATTTATAGGAGACTCCATTGCTTCTTGAGGAAGAAATAATAGAACGGGATAATACAGACACTGTGAGGGTAAGTGCTCTAACAGTAAATAGTGACAGACCTGTCACTTGTGTATTATGTTAAATGCTTAATTTTTAGGCTTGAGATGATGGTGTTTTTATTGAAGGGCAATCAACTTTGTTCAAATAATTGACCTTGTCACTGAGTCATATTGGTTTAAAATGTTAAAATT